ATTTGCAAACTAAAATTTTTTGCCTATTAGAAAAAAAATAATATACAAAATGTCCTTATAAAAATCTTTGATAATGGAAAAAAAAAAAAAAAAGGTCATGATTAATTTTTAAAAATGTTTCTTTTATACAGGGTGATTGAAATGTAACTATTTTATGTATGAGTGGCCAGCCAGGAGTCCTGACTTAACATCTTGTGACCATTTTCTTTAGAGTTGGTTAAAGGAGCAAGTCCACTATACCAAACCAAGACTTTGGAAGAACTTGAATGGCAAATACAAGAAGTTATGGCTTCTATACCACAAGAGTTCCTGGTGAAATCAGTTGACATGATTCCTGGGCACCTGAAGAAGCTGGCAATGAAATCTAGTGCCTATATTGAATCTTAAATAAAACCTCATGCTAAACGTGTTCCTCTCATATCCATTATTATAGTTAATAAATAAATTATAAGTATTTTAAAACAGCAAGTTACTCTTCATTTACCCTGTATACTTAAAACCATATAAGTCCTGTAGACACCAATGGGGTGTAGGGTCCCACAGCACTCAACAAGACTAGATGCTGTGGTTTCCATAGTAAGTGAGATTTTTACAGGGGGAAGTTACTTGCTACATTCCCAAGCTGGTTTTGCTTTTGTACCTAGTTTTACTTACAATACACAGTATTTCCAAGTGGTGATCAAACACAAATTGGTGTTTCAGCATAACTTGACTAAACATTTATAGAAGCTTTCAATAATTTTAAATAGAAAAAGCTTAAAAGATAATTTGGAAATAGAAGAAAAGCAAAAACAAATATTTATTAGAAAAGTCATTATAATGAAGTTCACTTTGGAGTCAAAAAAAAAAAAAAATCAGAAATTTTAAAAATATAGGATTTGGCATATTAAAAATAGCAATTTTTTTTTTTTAATTTACTTTAAAATTTTTGGGATCTTTTAATATAAAATATCAACTTTATAAAATCTTTAGTTTAAAAAATAATGCCAAAAGGCCTCCATGAAAAATTGGATGAATGTTGATCAGAATAACAACTTTTGTCAAGATATTTTCCTTTTTTGTTTTTTTTCTTTTTAATATTCAATCTCAATGAAGTTAAAGCATTTTTATTTTGGGCTGGAATACTATAAAAAATTCATTGAATGCAAAAAGATTTAATTTGAAATTCAAAGGAAAGTGTTGGAAAAAAAATAAAATAATGAACAATTAGAAAAATGAGTAAAAAACCTTAAATTACATAAAGTGTTCAATCCCTGCCAGGATTACAAATGTTTTTCAAGGTAAGTGAGCATTTTCCCCTTGTAAGTTTGATATAACAGAATCTTTTAACAATGGTTTAGCTTTGGGCCAAACTAAATGAAATGTCCAAAAAATTCTTGAAATTTTCTTTAATGTGTGTCAATGGAACAAAGAAAAAATTGATTTTCAGTAATCTTTGGTGTTTAGGTTCTTTAATTATCCCTAAACTTTGCTTAGTATGATGAAAGATCAAATGCTGTTAAATATCAGTAGGAAGATTGTAATGCACCAGGTTTCTAAATGGGAAAAACTTGTCTGTCTTGAAAAATCAGTATTTTGCCTGGGTTTGAAAAAACAACCATTAGCACCCTAAGAGAAATAGGTCAACCGTAACCCTACAAAACATGACAGTCATTCAGGCCTACTAGGCATTAGCTTCACAAGACACAGAGCTAAATAGAAAAGAGAAAACATGACGCAGAGGAGGAGGACTGCTTCATGAAACTCAGCATTCAAAATCCTGGCTTTTTAGGTGGGCTTGAACACCAACCTCTGGTATAGATAGCATAATGTGTAACTAACTGCTACAAAACTGACTTTTGATGCTTAGATATTTGCTGCTAAGCAAATGCTGGTTTCATTGTCTGTCCTTTCAAACAATGAATTTCAATCATGTGTTCATTTTGAACATGTTTTCTTAGAAGATGTATTTTCATTATTATTCAGCTCTCTTCATCTTATTGCTATGGTTTATCACAATAAAAGCTTTGTCCACTAAAATAAATGAAACGCAGTCAAAAATGATTTCCAACAAAACTTGAACTCACTTATACTTAAAGAGTTCATCTTTAATAGATATTTGCCTTAACATCAATTTTGATTTTATTACTGACAACTTTTGCGATCAAATTTTTACACTTGTTCTTCTGTTAGTCAGCAGGTGTGCTAAAACCTGCCATTACCCAAGATAAATTCCATTTTGACTGTGAGGGAAAAAAAAAAAAAAAAAAACACACAGAAGAAAAGAGATATTTCAGAGACACTGTACAGTTTTAGTGAGAAAATGAAAGAAACAAAGACCTGGAAGATAGAAAAGGCGATTCTCTTATACATTTAACATTTCAGTGAAATAGAAAACCTTGTCAATTTTTAATCTTTTCATTTGTACCCTCTTACTTCCTTAAATAATGACTTGCATTCATACTTAGTGATTGGTATTGCAATATTTGGTTAAAGTTGTTAAGCTCAAATATTTAACAATATAATAGGGAAACTTCCACAGGTATTTTATAGTCATGGAACTTGTAGAGAGCTTATTCGATCAATCAATTAAAAATTATTAGTCATCAAAAAGTTTAAATAGAAAAATGTGAAGGTACTATTAATTAGGTGTAAATATACATCAATTTGTAATTTTTTTTTTTTTTTTTTTTAAGTTTTTTCATAAAAACATTTTTTATGGAATTTTTTATGTAAGTTATTTGCAATTTCAAAAATTGTTCTTTCAGTTAGACATGACAGTTTTCATAAATGTGTTCAGACAATAGCAACTTGATAACTATTGGCTGTAGTTTGAAAAAAATAGAAAAAAAATTCAAATTTGAAAAAAAAAAAAAAAAAAAAAAAAGTTACTCAATTTAATTCCTCCACTAAAAGCACAAGTTGAGCTTCCAATATTCAAAATTTAAAAACACCAATAATTGCTTAGCACCTTAAAAAGGGAGAGGGTTGAAGTTGTATTCTCTGTTGGTGAAAACAATCCCAATAGCCTCATATTGCATTCATTGCAGTTGCTACTTCTAATTCTAAACTAGAGAGAAATTTCTTTGGCCATAGCTATTCACTAAAATGTCCATTGAAGCAGTCTTTATTTGATGGAACCATCATATCCACTTATTTCATTTACTATTATGACTATTCCTTAATTAAAAACAATCAATCTTGACAAACAGAGAAAAGAACTTCACAATCAAAAACAAAAATATTTTTTTTGCAAAGAATACTTGCATGTGTATAATACATAGACTGATCTTATACATAATCATGCCATTTTTTTTCAACAGGTACTATGTTAGTAAACTAATATAGCAGGGGGTGTCAAATATGAAGGTGGGAGTACTTCCAATTTGATTAAATGTAGGCAAAAATTGTTTCAATCCCATTTTAAAAATTTTTGATGGATTATCTGAAAGGACAGGTATTCATTGGGATTGTTCCCATTGATTCTATTAATCAATAATATTGATTGATTGATTGGTTCATCTTCCACAAATTAAAATTGGAATGAATTATTTAAAGTGATATTATGCATTCATCTCTCTCATATCTCCAAACAAGTCTCATTTAAAAGAACCAACAAGGTATGACACTTTAGTTTTTTTATGTATTTTTTTATGACACTTTAGTTTTTTTATGTATTTTTCTTATTTTCAAATAAGTTGTTGAGTATTGTCTCAAAGTTGTGGATAAACTGCCCAAAGTTCATGCTTTGTTATATGAAATTTGGACAGTTTATGCTCAACACCTTTTCAGTTCTTTTTAATCAAACTTGTTTGATAAATATACCTTATTCATATACACACACACACGCACAAGGGACATGCTGTCTAGGTAGGCAGTGCTTACCCTGAAAAAATAGCTACATTTTCCTTCTGTGGCACAATATGCACCTAAATCCAACAAAATTATGAAGGTTACTCTAATTATTAATGTTTTATTTTTTGTAGATTTACCACATAAAGGTCACAAGCTGCTTACTCCAAGTAATTATTGATGGCTTGTGCCTGGTACATATATACATACTAAATTAGATCATAACTCTTATTAAACAAAATGTACCACTCATCACTCAGTAGAAAGTGAACCTGCATTTACTTTTAGCCAGCTGTGCATTACCATTAGGCTACAGAGATCCTTACAGAACTGTAAAGTTCAATTAACCTTTTCAAGATATATATATATATCATTGGGACTTTTCAATGTCTATCTGCTAACTTACATAAAAAAAGCAATTAAAAGATTTTATTTAAATCCAAGTAAATGAAAAAAAATATGTTCACACTATATTGTTTCATTATTTTATAAAAATGAAACCTTTGTTAATATAAATTTAGTCATGTAGAATTAATGAAAAAGAAATCAATGAAACAAATTTTAAAAAGGTGTTTTCCATGATTGCAATAACATTTTGGTAGCTTATCTCCAATCCTGATATAAATTCTTTGACAAAAATCTTTGATATCTTTAATTTCTAAAAAGAATCAACAATGAATTGTATTAAGGCACTGATGCTCAGGTCTTCAAGAACTTTCTCCTTTACAAAACTATTGCAGAAAAAAAAAAAAACATCATACACATTTATAACCATGCAGTTGAATCCTGAAGAATAGAATTTATTAAATGAATTCACCATATATATATATATATATATATATATATATATATATATATATATATATATATGTGTGTGTGTGTGAGAGGAACAGATTGAAACAGTCCTAATGAATATGATGTTTAAATATGAAACATTTCAAAAATATTTTGTCTAAAGGATGCTCTTCTTGTACAGGATTATATTTCCTAAAATTGTTTGATGTTGCATGGTTCTGACATGAAAAAGAAAGAAATCACCTGAACAAACACTCAAACTTTTTGTCAAATAAAGTGACAAAAACTATCATCTATTTGGCTTGATGGTAACAATCGTGGATAAGAAAGTTGAAAATCATTCTATGTTGATTTCATTCTGTACTTTTGTCCTTTTAAAAGCCACTCTCCATACAGGTCTGCATAAAAGAACTGAAAAATAAAAAGCAATTAACACTTGACAGTAAATCAGCATTTATTCACAAAACATTTTACAATGTTGCTTTCCATTTCCCTGATTTACAACATTACACAGGCCACTTCTCTTTTCTCAAACATTACACAAATGATGAGAAAATGGTATAAATGGTTAGTGGCTCTGAATGCAAAATACGCAAGCCATGTTCAAGTTGAGCTTGTGACAATCACTTACACCCTTGTATGAACCCTTGTCTTCCCTCTACAGTTATGGGTTAAATAGCAAGCCCACCTGGGCTCTTTAACCTTGGTTGGCAACTACTCTAGGAGAAAGAACTCTGAATTCAAAACATGAGAAGGCCTATTTGAAGACAATGTGGTACTCTGTCCACCATTTCTGTTATTAAAAGTGTGTCTGGTTTTACACAAGCTTTCACCACTACAATCAAATACTATGTAGGTAATGGTGGTTCCATTCTAAGAACTGAATTGTTAAGCTATTGTATGCTGTAAACAACAGTCCTGTCATAAAGGAAAAGTAAAACTTGTCTTTGTGGTGAGAATTCTTTGAAGTTACTGTGGGGTGATAACAGAAAAAAAAAACAAAAAAACCCAAGACTAAAAAAAAAAAACCCAAAACTAAAACAAATAAAAAAAAAAACTCCAAAAACAAAACAAATAAAAAAAGAAAGGGGGAGAATCATTAACTGTTATTTTGGCAAAGACATTTTTTTCCAGATTCAAAGATAAACAATTCTTCAGTCTAACTTCTGAATAATTTTCTAGAAGAACCAAGAGTTCCTGCTGCCAAGAAAATGGCTCTGATAGCAGTTGCTCATGTCTAATGCTCAAATAGACAATTCCTTTTTTCTTTTGCAAGACTGCCAAAATGTCCCATCTGTTAATCTTTCATTCTTTGAGATACAAAACAGCTGTAGAATTTCCAGGTGGATATCAAACACCTCAAGTACCACAGAACAAACCAAATAGTCCATGATTTTTTTTTTTAGATAAACAGATATTCACAAAAACTAAATTAAAAATTCACTCTGAAAGCTTTTATTTCAAATAAATAAAATTAATTTTGTATTTGTTATGTGTGTTTATTGTTTTGTTTAAATCATAACATTTTTCAGTTCATCCATTCATCAGATATTAAAGTAAATTGGACTGTGAAAAAAAGTAGCAGCTTTAAAAAAAGACTTCATAGAGTTGACATTACTAATAAACACTATTTTTTTCTTTTTGTCCTCCCTCCTCTTCTTCAGTTTCCCAATTCCTTCCCAGTTAATATTATTATGTAGACTTCTCAGAAAATATAACCAATTCCATCCGAGACGGTCCATCGATTGGACATATACTACACTGATTCAAAGTAAGAAAAGCACAATGATTGTACATACAAAGCAGAATAACTACTAAATCTCAGAATCTTAAAACGGTAAAAATTTTCCAGATTATTTCATTTATTTCCTTTCTCAACAGATAAATGAAACAGAAATGTTTATGTTTACATGTAAAAAGGTACAAACTCATTAATCTTAATTATGAAACAAATAATTACAATACTTACGAAACAATTTCAGCCAATTCAGGAGCTTTGTGTATATGTTTGTGTCCATAGCCATGAACTGCTTTGAATGCAACAAATTTTATTGGGCCACTCTCTTTAGGACGAGTCTCAACACCAATGTCATAAAGCTGAAAAAAGAAGATAAACATTGGCAGTTTGAGGACAAATAACAAAAAAAAAAAAAAAAAAAAAAAAAAAAAAAATAGAAAAGATTGACTAATAATTACAATAAAAGGGAATCCACTGGGAACAATGCAAAGGTCAGTATTTAGAAAGCAAAATCTTTTGAGAAAAAGGAAAATCTTATGGATCTTCTTTAAAATTCAAACATCACATAATCAAGACTAACTGTCCAGATTGTAGACAATTTATCTAATAGTAAACATTCCACACTTTGATAGGATCAAGTTATAAACATTTCATGTTTTAAGCTCCCAACAATTTAAAAAAAAAATGACTGATGCCTCTAACTCTATAATGTAATGTTTAGAATTTCATTGCATAACTTGCCACAATTTTGATCTTCAAACACTTAAGTGCAATGTCAATTGTTATCTACTGTCTTATTTTCTCTTACATTTAATGGTTTCCTTATATTCTTTCACTCTCTAACCCCCTTGTATCTTAGTGACTTTATTGACTTGCTAGGAGTGAAATGATTAAAGAATAAAAATTAAAAATTAGAACAAAAAAAAAAAAAAAAAAAAAAAAATTTTTTCCAGCATTTTCAGAAATGGTCAGGTCCCAAGATAGCCAGATTAAAAAAAATACATGTATATACTCCTCACCTTGAAGAAATAAAGGGTTTCATTTAAAATTCCCTGAAGATTAAAGATTGCAGTCAAAACCATATGTTGCATTGATTATGGTAAAAAAAAAAAAAAAAAAAAAAATATCATTGGCCAAAAGAATCCGCTTTTAAAAATATTTACCTTTTTCCCAAGTTCTATGGGTATCAGCAAATCATCTTCTGCATGAAGGATAAGTATTGGACTCGTTACACTGCTTATACTATATAAAAAAAAAGGGAAAAGGAAAAATTGAAATAAGCAACAATTTATAACCAATCAGAATTAAAGAGATTTTCAGTATCACAAAATAAAAAAAATGTCAAAAACATCAAACAAATACAAAGTATCAATATAAAAAAAAAAAAAATTAAATAAATGTCAGAAATTGGCAGTCTGGTTTAAAAACTATAGATTTATAATTATTTTTCTAAATTATTGTGTCTGTCTTTTAACAAGAAAAAAAAAAAACTTGATGATTTGGGATGATTCCACTAAGCCTCCTTTTTTGATTTAATGAGAGGGGTCTGCCACAATATTAGAATCCTCATTTATTTGTTGAGTACTGCCCAAAGACAAATCCACTTGAGAGATAAAGTGTAGTTTGACTGCCCAAAGGTAAATACTACATTTTGATCCCAGCCCAAGGGCCAGGTGAAGCTATTTAATCACTTTCCAAGATTTGACACAAGGTCATTTTTATTATGAGGTTGCCCTCAAACGATCCCAAAACTGTCAGGTCCCACAATTACTGTCATATTGGCATTGATATTCCACTGACCCCTCTCTCTTTTAGTGCAATGGTTAAGGTGCTGCTGCAAGGTTGAAATCCCCTTGGACCAGGTATTCATTCCTCAAAGATCTTTCTGTGAACTGACCAAAATTACAAACACTTCATTTTGATTCTTGTCCAAAGGCTGAATAAAAGAGTGCTGATTCTTTCTGCATTTATTACAAGATCTTTTGAATTAGTCAGTGTAGTGAATAGAATAATAGACAATGGTGGTTCAATCTATTCAACAGAGGTAGTGATTATTACAAAGCATACCATTTACTTCTCTCTATCAAATGATAATCATTATAGTGAATGAAATAAGAGGCTATAGTGGTTCCATCTATTAGAAGAGGTGGATAATATTTCAATTAACACTGTAGCACATATCTATGAATAACAGGTTAGGCTCAAAAACTCTGCAGAGTGAGTTATGCCTAGAAGTTTGTTTTTTTTTCTAAGAAGTCTGAATACCATTACATCTAATACTACTAGTGTGAAATGTAAATATACAAGGTGGCTGTATATTGGCATTTGGAGAAATAATTAATGCAGCAATATGGCTGAATTGCAGGATTCCATCTGGTTGGCCTTCATCATTTGATTGGTAAGACACTGTCACAGAAAGAAAAACTCCAAAAGATACAGGATTAGAATTAAAATCTCACAAGCAGCTTTTATTCCTTATTACCAATCAAGTATTACAACCACATCCCATGCGATCACCAAAGTTAAGCAACAAAAAAAAAAAAAAAATTAACTGATATGCTTCATCTAAGTTTGAAGATTATTTATCCAATGGGGAGCTGAGATGTTCTCAGCCCAAACCATTTGCCTAAATTTAACCAAACAGAACTAAGAAAGGCTTCTTGATCAAGCCAATAACTTTTAGCACCACCTTATAATGATTAAATTTAATGTTTAGGGGTGTTTATTATTGTAAAATAACAATAAAAAAAAAAATTAAAAAAACAGCATTGCATGATGAAAAAAAAAATGCAACAAACTTAAAATAGTTTTATCCTCAAAATGTTTATGTTATTAAGAGGAAAGACCAGAATATTTTTTATTTTATTAAATTTTTTAACCCTTTCTAGCACATTGGAAATTTTAGTTAAAAAAAAAAAACTTTTTTTTTTTTTTTTTTTTATATCAGCTGTCAACATTAATTTACAATTAGTAAATTTGTGCTCTCCCCCACCCAGTGAAAAACACATTGATTTGGAAATTCTTGCATAAATCAAATAATTGTTGAATTTTAATGAAACTTCCAGGGCTTATTCACGAATAAATGAAATTATTTTTGAAATTGATTTTTTTTTTTTTGACACGTTACCTCCACCTCACTTAATTTTATGAAATTTCAAGAAATTAAATTTCAATGTCAAAATTTGTTTTATTAGTTAAAAGCAGGAATACTTAGAGAATGTAAATCAATTTTTTTTTAATCTACTACTCATTTACCAAATCTTAAAAAAAAAAAAAAAAAAAAAAAAAAATTAACACATAATTTAATTAGAAAAGCTTTTAATTGCTTTTCTAAATAAGATATATTAAGGACACTACTGTCTGAAGAAAAAAATTTAATATTCCTCAAATAAACTTTCAGAAAAGTATATTTTATTTTTGGAAGATTTTTAAAAACAAAAATTAACTTTTGTTTACAAATGTGTCAAAATGTGTCAGAAATGACCAATTTTTGACCAATTTTGTGAAAGTGACCAAAAAGTTGAAATACCGATCAACATAATTTCTATTTAAAATACACCAGAGTATTTTGCTTACAGGAAATAGTAAACTTAATCATTTAGTTTTTTAATGAAAGCTAAAATGAAAGCTTCAAGAATGATTTTTCATTTTTAAAAATTCATTTTAAACCTTAGATATCAAAAATTCATTGAGGTGCCTAGTTAAAATGGTCTACATTAAATTAAATACATTTCCATGCCAAGATTACTAATTGTTCCATGAAATAATGAGACCTTTATTTTATGCAAAAATAGATCTTTTTACCTATTTTTATACAAGATAATTATTTTTGCAAAATAAATGTATCATTATTATATGGACAAAGATTTTATTTTAGGCAAAAATTATTCATTTTTTTCATTTCCATTCATAAACAAACAATTTCTCTAAACTGTAAGCATAAAGTCATTTAACACAAAACTCCTGCTAAATAAGGATTAGGAAAATTGCAAGTAAATCTAACTTAGAATTTTAAATGTTATTAGAGCATGATTGACTACAGAATAATTATCTTTATTTGCAAATAATTAAAATATAAAAACATACAAATCAATAATTTTTTTTAACTTTTTAAGTTAAAGCCAAAAGTGCCTTACACAATGAATACATATCCATCATGAAAAAGTCTGCATGTTAAAAGGACATCACCCCACAATTAATGATAAGTCCAGTTGGTTTTCCTTCTCTTCCATCTAGGGATGGAAAGCATATACTGTCTTGTTATTTAACCCATAGCTGGAGGGAGGAAAGATGGATTAATGCCTTTTCCAAGGGCTTTACTACAAAGTGAATGCAACAGATTTGGCCAAAATATAAACTTGGCTCACCAATACCTATTATGCTACTCATATATCCTAATTATAAATCCTATAAAGGCATGATTGGCAGAGTTTAACAGCAGCTTTTGAAAGTTTTTCAGTTACATCTAATACTATTATAATTCTTTATAAATCTACTTTTCTACCTTTCATCAGTAGACCATAACAGCCAACATTGTTATCATGTAATAAATACATCTTATTTTGTTTCAGCTTTTATATATATATATATATATATATATATATATATATATATATATATATATATAAATAAAACAAATGGTATTTACAACATAATTTGCATCACAATTTTTAAAAGCATATTTTAATAAATATTTCATCTGTATTTATTTTTTATTTAAATTTTTTAATATATAAGCAATATTTCTGTCAAAGTATTTTTATTATATCTTTTTTTTTATTACATCTGCCTAATCAAAGTTCACTTGTAAGTTAGCAGAAAAATATCAGCATGCTTACATTCCTTAGAAAACAATAAATGCAATTTTGACATGTAAAAACTTATTTTTTTTTAAGCTGACATACAGTAAATAATTTTTAAGAATATTTTTATAGAATTCAATAATTTTAGGTTCAACAACATTAGTTACAATCTTATTTCTTGCAGCATTCATAATAAACATTGTTGTCATCTGCCATTTCACATTACAACAAATTAGTCAGGCAGAGCTGAAAAATGCTTTTCATGGAAGTCAAATTAATCTGTTTAATTAGATTTTCTTTTAAATATTATTGAAATATTTCATGGTCAGTTCTATATAGATATGACTAGAATAGGAAATTTAAGTGCACTTGGCATAATGACAAGAAACATTTTAGGAAATAGAGGTCTTGCTGAAAATGTTTATACAAAAGTTTTAGAAAGGCAGCAGGACTATGGATGTGTGGGTGGTGTAACGGATATCAACACTGAATGAGAAATTAGAGAGACTAGTTCAATTTCCAGTTGAGTGTTACATTGACTTATGTGCAAATACCTGTGGGAAAGATATGAATCCATGTCTTCTCACCCAAGTTATGGGTTGAATAGCAGGATAGACTAGGTTCTTTAGCCTTGGTTGGCAATCAGTCTACTGCGGGAAAATCTACTGCCTAGGCAGTCACGTATTGAAAGAGACACAAACACACAAGCATGTATCACATATGGCATTTAACCAACTGAAGAGAACTATGATAACATGTTTTCCTATGTTTGTTGAAGAGGTATTTGGCTAGTAAAAATATGAATGAAACAGTCAAAAATTATGTATTTTTGTCAAGGAAAATATACAGTGTCACACCTTTTTCAAATTACTAATCAACTACAATGACAATCTCACCTTTCATCACTTGCAAATTCAACTCCACTTCTTTGAACAAAATTTGTTAGCTTTACTTTGAGAGTTTTAAAAAACTTGAAGGGCTGAAATAAAAAAAATATAAAAAAAGCAAATAAAAACAATAAAAATAGTAATAAAAAAAAAAAAAAAAAAGGTTAAAAAATACTAATAGGCAAAATTATTTTTGCAAATATTTTTATGAGAACATTCTCAGGAAAACATTTTCTACTATTAAAGAAAATCAAAATATATTTTGAGATTAAAATAATAGAAAACAGAAAATTTCAGTAAAAAAACTAGAAAAAGAAAGCTTCTCATAAGACTTTCTTTGAAAGCTGCTCACACAAAGAATTAATATTCAGAAAATGTCAGATATAGTCTATTTTATACACAACCAATTTATTAGCATTTGAATCTATATGCAGAATGATTATAGGCCTGTTACTGTGACACAGCAGAAAACAGCACAACTTACAGAATATTTCTCCAGTTTAACTCCTAGTTTCTCAATAATTTTCATTTAATTAACTATAAATAAATTGGAAAAAAATGTTTCCCAAGGGAAATAAATCTAAATCTACTAACTGCTAATTACAAAGATGTTTCTCTTTAGAAAATAAGAAAAAGCAGAGAATTCTTCAAGTACAGTGATAATTAGAATTTGTAAATAATTATAAATTTAGTAAATAGGTGACTTGATACTGAGTCAGGAGCCATCAAAATATGTCAGTTCATCAATCAGTCCATCATCTAATAGATGTGGCAAGACAGAGAAAAAATTTTTTCTTTGTTTATAAGTTTGCTTTTTTTTTTTGTGTGTGTTTTTAGACTTGTACTTTCTATCTGAATTGTCCTATGGGACATTAACCTAGTGGATTAAAATGTAGGTTCAGGAATTTGGTGACATAGTAAGTTCAATATCTAGAATGCAGTGTGTTAACAGTGAAAACAGGGTGAGCAATATCTGAGCAATACTAAAAATAAGAACTAGATGAGATATCCCTAGACATGAATAGTGGAATGAGAACAGTCTACCCATAGATTAAATAAAGTGTTCAGTTTGGAATTCCCTGTAGGTTACTCAGATTGATATACACCCAATGAAGGCTGGAAAGTATAATAAAAAAAAAAAAAAAAAAAACATTGTGATAACAACAACAAAGATGAGGACACATGTAAATAGAGTAAATTTTTTTTATCATTTCTACCCATGTATGGTTATACTGCCACTAAGACACAAGAGGCTACTTTAGGCTTCCTAAATATGAAACAATGAATAAACATCTACTCCTGTTTAAAATGTAAATAGACTTGTACTATTTTGAATTCTATTGTACCATTAAAATATATGAATATTTAAAATTCTCAATAAATCTGTCTATATTTCTGAGATGTGATATTGTAATTATTTACATATATAGTTCGAACCATGGTCCTCATCTTTATTGGCATATTTATGATGTCTCTAGAAGAGTCATGGCACATGGAACTAGAACAATCTATGCTGGTGGACAAAATAAAGGGTTCAGTTTGAAATTCCAGTCACCTGAAGAAGGCCGGAGTGTAAAATGGCTGAAACGCTGTGAATATGGCAATAAAGATGAGAACAACAGTCCGAACAATGAAAATAATGTCAATAACTATCAATTAATATAGATTATTACTAAACTTAGTCTTGGGTGAAAAAAAAAAAAAAAAAAGGAGCATTCATCTAGAATTGAACTCGCTAGCAATGGACTGTGACATTAAACTGATAAATATCACTGAGTTTAAGCTCAACAGTCAATATAAGTAATAAAACAAAACTTAGTTTGAAATTATGTTGTCAGACTGAAAGGAACATTCTGTATTCCAATTTATGAATTGAATATATTTAGGATTTTACAAGAACATAGCTAGCATTTTATTGTTATAAAATCGGAAACCATTCACTTTTTAAATGAGCGTGCTGAAGAGATATATCAACCATTTTTTTTTTTTTTTTTTAAATATTGTAGATCGTAATTCAAAGCCAAATAAGAGATTTTACAATAGCATAATAGTAGTAGCCAATTGGTTAAAAATAACATTACGTGCTTTTAGATAAATGGATAGAAAATTTTAAAATATTATCTGATCAAAATAAATTTATAAGATTCTTCAGAATCAGAAAGACGGCCTTAAGCAGCTTAAGAGAAAAAAAAAAGATTTATTCAATTTGTTTGTTTTATAAATGCACACGAAATCAAATTTTGTAAATTTTAGCTTTCTCTGTGTTTTTTGGAAAAGCAACGTTTTTTTTTTTTTTTTTACTTGTTAAGATTGAGCAATGAACAATTTCCATGAACATACAAGAGGAACAGAATGGCTAGAACAAAACAGCTTTTTAAAGAGTATTTATTTTCTTGTTAAAGTGTGTATAAAAACAAACAGACACATGCACAAAAGGGTGTTGAAAAGCTCTCAGCCCAACAACTGCCAAAAATCTGATCAAATTTTTTTTTTTAGGGGATTGTTGGTTGGGCCAAGAACTTCTCCATACATGCTTTTTTATAATACTAGAATATATTCACACACACACACAACATTCAAAGATTTGAAAATATCAATAAATCCAGCTGATTAAACAAGATAAAATTCATATCAGTAAATAATCCATCTCCTACCAGCTCTCCCTTGTAAATATCTCCCTTCAACAATAAGTCTAATGTGTTTTCATCATTGTCTATAAGTTCAGATGCATTTCGTTGTCTTATCACAAATATTAGCCATGTATTATGTGAGGAGAGGTTAAGATTTAACCTTTCAGAACAAACATCCAAGAAAGGTTGGAGAGTATTTATGTGTCTAAGGAGGTTATGAGAAAACAAGACAAGGAAACTCATGTATCCTTGATACAATATTTTATATATATATATATATATATATATATATATATATATATATATATATATATATATATATATAAAAAATGTATGTTTTGAACAATAAAAAATATTAAAAATTAAAATTTTCAGACACACTGGGTGGTATATTAATATTTTTTGTTTTATTATTTCAATTAGGTTCCTCAACTAGTTTTTGTTAGTGTCAGAAAAAAATATCCCTGCTTGTTAGTAGCAGTGAACTACAGGAGTTCACACACACACACACACATATATAAGAGAGAGAGAGAGCATGGATACAGAAATTAACACTTTATGGAGAGTCAGTTACATGGCTCATGAGAAAATTCAAATTGTTATATCTGATATTGACCACTTTTTCCTGATAAATATAATAAAATCTATACAATAATATATACACACAAAAACAACAACACTTACATACACTACTGAAAAATTCTTTGTTGAATCCACATCCCAAAATGTGAATATACATCAGAATTTAGGGATGAAGGTTTCTTGATTGACCCATAACATTTTGTGGGGAGTGGGTGCAGGCATGTGGGTATCTACTATAACATGAGTAAACTATGCTTCAGGATCAGATAAAAAGATCTCCTCTACATAGATCTAGCATTCTCATGTTATGATGAAAAAAAAAAAATAGAATGGCAATAAAGTCTGTTGATAAGGTGTCTTGATCGTTATTTGATGAAGCTTTGATTTGTGGAGATTCAATGTTCTCACCTATCAGTCTACAAACTTAAAAAAAAAACAAAAAAAAAAAACAATCTTTTTTTGTGACTTGTTTATTCTACTTTATCTACTAAATTCTTTTGAACATTACATTTACGAATTTAACTATTTTTTTCCTATCTGTTTTCTGCCATTTCAAATTATTTCTGCTCTGCAAATAAAAACTGACCTACAATGAACAAGATTCAAGAAGATGCAGAATGAAATGAAACAGAATGAAAAGTTGAAAGATTGGCTTACACAGCAACAATAAACACAGACTGCACATTTTGGGGGGGGAGGAAGAGGAAGGAGCACAAAAGACTGTTAAATAAAGCAAGAATTTTTTTTTTTTCAAGTGTTTTGAAATTTTATGTAATTTCATTGTTACACATGTCTTTATTAATTTCAACTCTCCTCCAACCATTTCTTGAGGATTTATTTTCATTTGTTAAATTAGAAACAAAACTTTTCATAAGCACACATTATTATTATTAACCCTTTCACAGCTGCATTGTTATAGCATTGTTGCTTGGCTGTGCTGATCCATTTGGATTTTTAAAAAAAGCAAAAAAAAAAGAAAAAAAAAAGAAAAAAAAAAGCCATTTGCTGGAAATAAATGGGTGGCACATTTGTTTTCAACCAGATACTCTACAGTACAGATTAAGCTCAATGACCCCCCCCCACCCTCCAACACAATATAATAAAACAGGTTGCTACTATATATCTACACTGGTCTTGAAATTGCACTAAGCCCTGATTAATTTATAACAAAAACTCTAGGGATCAACATTTTACAGTGTCATGAAAACAAGTCAACATGTAATACAGGTCTTGTAAAGACAAAGTATGGCTTTGAAACATATGTACATCAACAGCAAACATTGTAAGTCTCAAAGATATAAAGTACATCTTAAAAAATGTATATGTATACATCAACTGCCCATCCTGGGTATAACGGTAAATTGCATCTGGCAGCAATGCCTCTGATCAAAAGGTTTTGAGGAACATGGAACCACCTTTTAATTGTCGGTGTTTACAGGTGTCTACCTTGAGGTAGTAGCATCTATTAGGATCCCAGCTATGGGTAAATAGTGAACCCCCAAAATGGGATCAAAATACATTTTTATAGTAAAAATACCAGCAATATATTTTAATACTAAAAAAAAAAAAAAAAAAAAAAAAAAAAGTTACCAAAACTCCTGAGAAAATTAAATTTTGACATTAAATTACCAATAAGGAGTTAATATACCATTAAATAAACAAATAAAACAACATCAGCATAAGGCAATGTAAGTTTCCTAAAGGCATAAAATACATCTTGAAACCATATATGTATGTCAACAGCAGGTAATGTGAGTTTCATAAAAATGTACAAGTACATCCACAGCAGCGGAAGTGTCTATTATTTTAATTACTCTAAAATTTCTTTGTTCTGAATGCTCAAAATTTGAAAATCTTAAAAAAGTAACCAAGACAATGGC